CCGGGCGGTATCAACTGGCGGACAGGTGGAGGAGCACGATGGCGAGGAAGACGAGGCTGCAACGCTCATTGGACGAAGAAGGCATGATGGAGAATGGAGTTGGACATGGCGGGACACGAAGAAGCGCTCCGTTAGGTGGAACGCGGTAGGGGGTGGGTCCTCGCTCCATCATGCGAAACACGATAGGGGGCAAAGGGATCATGGCTGCTGTGGTCAGGGAGGTTGCGATCGACGATGAAGGAAGGGATCCTGGCCCAGGTTAGAGTGTTGCTTCCCCTTCTCGCTCTTGTCGTCATCTTGGTCTTCTTCCTCGCAGTTGTTGAGGGCGATAGCGGTGGGGGAGCGGGAGATGAGCTTGCCCTGAGTTGGATCCTCATCAGATTTGGCTGTCGCAGGAGTATTGCGGAGTGCCTTGTGGGGGATGAATTTGAGCTGGGGACGGAGGTGACCCGCCACATCCTCGCCCGCTCTGCCATCACCCCCTTTTCACCTCTCGAAACCTTCTCGCATTCCCTTTCCATCACTCGGTACATCGGTACAGTATGAAATTAAAAACCTTGGTGGAAAGAAAAACTTCAACTCCTTCAATAATCTTGTGATCTAGAATTACGATTTCTATCCTACTTTTTATATTAATTAAGTAAAAGGAAACAAGTTACAAAAATAGGAAGAATTGACTAACATTTCATAAATAAAGGCATATTTATCATTTTATCAATATATTTTCATATTTGTTTTGACAAATAATCTTCCTTGATGAAGTATTTTATTGATACGCTTCCTTTTTTATTAAGTCTTCATCTATCATGAATTCTTAAATCTTTAATCAACCCCAAGATATCAATTTCTTTTTTCTTTGAACCCTTCTGATGAAGTCTAAGATTAATCTCCTTTGATTTTTTTGTTTGTCTTTTTTTTTTCCTTTTGGATAATCTTAATAACTAGTATAGGATTATGGAAGCTGTTGTCAATTGACAACCTATGACATTTGCAAAATCTTTCTAAACTACTAATCCAAAATAAACTAGATAATCTTGCAGTTTCCACTACATGTGAATTTGTTTCAAGTTTAATTGATTGAAATTTGGATCAGTTTTGATGATTTAATATATTGGCTTAAGTAGCAGATCTGATACCAAATCTGACGAAGGATAGGTGCTCTGATAACAAATCTAGGGTGGACAGTTGCTCTGATATCATCATACCTGATAGACGAGCATGGCAAGCAGGGAGAGTGAACTTTTTATGGACTTGAGAAAGGTAAATAGAGAGGAACTTAAAGAAAATTCCGGCATATTATGATGTCAAAAGATAAGAGTGTATAATATAAAAAAAATTAATTATGAGTCTAGCTCAATGACTAGATTAAAGGGATGAAGATATTGTATTACTATACATCTTACATGTGTGATGAAATCGGACCATAGAAAAAGTCGACCTTACGCCACTCGCATATAATATGAGAAAAAAAAGTTAATCTATCAATTTTCTATAATTTTCAACTACAATCTGTCCCTCCTTTTATAGACCTCAAGTACAAGAAAAAAAGGGAAAAGTTACAAAACAAAGAAGGATTTGATGAGATTCTATTTGAACAAGGCATATCAAGCATTTCATCTTTTTCTTTAATGAAAAGTATAGTTCCATAATAATTTTTGACAATTTTTTCCGTCTTTGTTAATTCTTCAATTATGACTAAAGTTTCTTATAGTGATGTTTTTGACAATTCTTTCCGTCTTTGTTAATTCTTCAATTATGACTAAAGTTTCTTATAGCGATGAAATCTTCAATGAACCGTTTAAGTCTTAATCAAACCTAGATCTATTAATTTTTTTCAAATCTCTAATGAAATATTAGATAATCTACTTTTTGTTTTTTATTTGACTTCCTTTGTTTTTCCATCTTTTGTACAATCATGGTCGAATATCAGTTGGTTCTGGTGTCCCATGTTTCGGTACGTTGAGACATATCTGTATTCCCAAAAAAGAACAAAAGATAGCTTAGATTTCAAGAAGAATTCTATTTTAGAGTTAATTTTATAATTTCTTGGTATATAAAATTATATTTTGATAAGAATAAAGTGTATCTAAGTCATAAATGAATAGAAATTCTAGGTTATAAGGATGAAAAATTGAACTTGTCTTTCCGGATCCGCCGAGGAACAACTTAGTCGGGAGAATGGACCTAAACGTAATTAGCCCTAAATATCCCAATTTGGGCCTAAACGTAATAGAAAGGATCTAATTGGGCCTAAACATAAGAGAATGGTCTTAATCATGCTTAATCTTCCTAAATATGCATTAATATGTTCCTAATTATATGAAATGATAAAACATAGAAGTAAAATACTTTTGATTGGAGAGAAATTTGATCAGATTCAATCCCTCTTTTATCCAAATCAAGAGGCTGATTCCCACTAATTGTCGATTAGGAAGATTAAACGAGTGTAAGAAAGAGTGAGAAAGAGAGTGAGAGTCAGTGAAGAGGGGAGAGGAGGATTTAAAGGGTCAAAACAGGGTCCTACAGTCAATTTTATCTGATCATTGGAACCTGATTTGACCTGTAGAAGACTGGTATAGTTGAAATGGTCTGACTGTTACCAACCTGTATCTATCGATAATGGTCGAGTTTCGTCTGTATCAACCGATACAAGAGGCATACCAACTCGTACACCCACCCCTAACCATGTACTACCTAAAATGAGCTGGTTAGCTGGCAGACCGATAGGTACTGTCTGTTTCATATCGGGCGGTATGTCAAACCATAATGGTAACTAATATAAGATTGTAAAAGATATTATGTGACAACTTGTTACATTTGTAAAATACCCTCTAAACTAATAAATTTTCTTCAAACCTGATATAAATTAAAATGATCTCACTGCCTGATCCCATTCTAGTGATAAGCTATTGAGAAAAATTCATTTTTCTTTATGGGATCTGGAAGCAATTAATACCTTATTATGTCTTCTAGATCCATGGAGAAGAATCTTTTCTCCTTCTATGAAGTATGAACCATGTGGGATGTTGTCTTATGCTATACAAATGCCTTTGACCTTCGATATTTGGCACCTTTAGTGATCATAGAACAAATTAATCATTTCAATGAAATGATGGGAGGTGGTGGCATAAAGAGAAATGTGGAAGGCAGAAAGGGGTTAGAATTAGGACAAAATATACAACAACAATAAAGCCATAAGTCTCAATTATATGGGATCGACTATATGGAACTTTTACCGCCATTCAGATATGTAGAAAGTCATATGTTTTGTTAAGTTTAGAGTACTTAAATTCTTATTTATAGTTCGTATTAAGGTCTCTTTAAGTATTCCTCTCTCTCTCCTTTTAACTTAAATCCTTAACTAGGACAAAACATGTTAAAAAAAATTAAAGAATGATAAAAAATGGCAACTGCCCTATAAAACAAATTTTCATTCATTGAATTTACATTTTAGTCAATCTTTTAACTAGACCCTCTAAAAAGTAAAACATATGTTCTCCTTTTAACCTTTTAAGGAATTATCAAAAAAGGAAAACTTGAGGAAAAAGATCCTTTTTCATGAAAAATTCATCATCTCATACAATGCCATATGAAGAGGCTCGTAGACTGCTTCAAGATGCAAATTCTACTAAAAAGGACATGTTAGCATCAATGCCACTTAAAATAAGATTGAAAAAACAGAATACATGGAAAAAGGAAAAGTAGAAAATCATAGTCTGAATTCAGTTGGAATTAACCTAGAGTAAGATTAAGCTAACCTACTAAATTTTAACTCAAGTAGAAGCTTAGATGCTCTAGAAGATGCATTTTCAATTGCCAAAATTGGGAAATTATAACTAGTTTTCTAGTTCTTAAGGCATCCTTTTTTTTCATCTTTAGTGTCCAGAAATTAGCCTCAACAAATTCTGACTTCTTTCTCAGAATTTTCTAGAACTTTCTACAATTGGATCTAGATCTGCTTCTTCTAACAGATCTAGAACTCATAACAACACTGATTTGTCACCATTTCCTTTTGTCTAGTTTTGGGTGGGATTTCTATATTCTAATAAATTTATTGCAAATAGAAGACTTTATATGTCAGGAGGAGAGAGATTTAATGCTCATAGTGATGGGCCTTCAATGCAAATTCTTGTTGTTAAATTGATATTATTGGATGTGAAAAATGGTTTATACAATAGTTGATCCCAATTTTGTGATGAGTTGTGGAGAAATTCTTTTTTTTTTGTGCAAATGGGATAGTATAGTATTTAATACTTTCTTCTGTCTTGTAGATACATAGAGAATACTCTTATTCCTTCTTTGAACCATGTGGGAAGATATCCCATGCCATGCTGAGTGCTTTTGCCTTTGATATTTGACACCTTTACTCATGATACAATAAGCTTACGGATTTTTTTTTTCTTTTAAGAAAATTTGTCATCCCTTACAATTTGATGTAAAGAGACTTGCAGAGTACTTTAGACGCAAGTTCTAACATGTCAGATTCAACACCAATTAAAATAAGACGAATGTCATGGAGCCTGCAAAGACAAATATACAAGCAAAAAGGAAAAGTAGAAAGCTGTGGTCTGAATTCAGTGGATTCAACGTGGAATAAGATTTGTTCTAAAAAATCTGGAATAAGATTGAAGCTAACCTACTAAATTTTTACTCGACTATAACCTTGGATGCTTTAGATGGTGCATGGAATTGAGAAATTATAAGTAGCATTCTGGTTTCTAAACCTTTCTTTTTTTTTTGTAACTGGAAATGTGCAGATTTCACTTCGGTTCATGTCTTACTCAAGAAAACCAATCATGTACATATGCTAGTCTTAAAACTTAGGAAACTTGACATGCGTGCCTGTTTTCTGTGATTGTCAAAGACCAGTTCTACTTTTTTTCCAACTGTGTCTGTTTTGAGTGGCTTTTCTTTGTTGTTTGTTGACACTTATTTTCTGTCTCATCTAATAAGGATGCAGTAATATCTGATTTTGTTCTCTTTCCTTCAATACACCGCAGGGCCAAAAGAGTTCTCCGCTGTCTTCTACAGCCTGCAGAATTGGAGGGTACAAGATAACTCTTTTGCCACCAATATTGAGCTTTATTTGCTATCTGGTCCTTGATATACGACATATGGTAATGGTTGCTTTTCCAGGCTATCTTTGAGAGGTTTGACCGTGACCGGAGTGGTAAGATTGATACATCAGAGCTTCGTGAGGCACTTCTGAGCCTTGGGTTTGTGGTTTCTCCGACAGTTCTGGATTTGCTTGTGGCCAAGTTTGACAAGTCCGGAGGCAAAAGCAAAGCCATTGAATACGATAACTTCATAGAGTAAGAGTTAGTTTATGTTTCTGGAACAGGATAAACTATATCTTATGCACGGTGGTATCTAGCCTTGACCTCTCTGCTTGCTTATGGTTGGTTTGTTTTATTTGAAATGCAGGTGCTGCCTCACGGTCAAGGTAATAATTTTGCTAGATGCTTATATGATGTATATGTATATAAAATATTTCCACAGGTTTATTTATTTTTGGGTTTTCATGTGAATGATTAATGAACTGTGTCGCAGGGGCTGACGGAGAAGTTCAAGGAGAAGGATACTCAATATTCAGGATCGGCAACTTTCACCTATGAGTCTTTCATGTTAACCGTGTTGCCCTTTCTCATCGCATAGGGGTGATGGCCTTGGTTTCTCCTTGAGATTGTGTGACATCACAATTGTTGCTTGGTGATAGGCTATATTCTAAGCCTTATGCTTCTATTAACGTGGGTTGTCTGTGGAACATCAAGAGAACCCATTTTGCCAGTG